CCCCTCCCCTCCTCCCCTCCCTACTCCTTTTCCCCTGTTCATTTGTGCCTTGTCCTTCAATACAATATTGATTTGAATAGGTAATAGTGAGCAGAACATTTTGTTCTTAAAAATGAAGGGAATGTTTTTAATGTTTTACAATAACAATGATATCTGCTGTAGCTTTTTTGATATATATATTTTTTATCTGGTTAGAAAACCCCCACACCCAATCTTTTTTCACTGTATTAGTTTAGAGAGGTTACCCTCTGTTCCTAGTTGGATAAGACTTGTAGTCAGAAAACTTGAGTTTTAGCCTAAACTTTTTTCCATTGATTACTTAATTGGTTCAATAAGTGTGTTTGTAGTACTTTCTCTGTGTTAGGCTCAGGTTGTATAACAGAGAAAAAAGGCAAACACCCCCATCTCCTTGGGGTTTATGTTCAAATAGAGGGAGGCTGACAATAAAGAAAGAAAAGGAAATGTAAGTTGTGTAGCATAAAGAAGTGGTAAACATGCTGAAGAAAAACGGAGCAGGCAAGAGGGGAGGCCAGTGGGTGCAGGGCGTGAGTAGGGAGAGTAATAGGAGATGAAGTCAGAAAGGAAAAGGGTGGAGTGGGCGAGGTGATCCCAGGAGATAGCTGGGTCTAGGATGCAAGAACAGATAGAGTGCAAAAAAATCATCAACTTTTGGATAAGTCAAAGCACAAAATATCCAATTTCTAGGATTAAAATAAAATCTAGATAGAAATGAAATACTAGGCAATGTAATATGGAGGGGGTGACAAGGGTAATTCTCTCAGGAACTTTGGTTTAGGAGTATCCTGTGAACAGATTAAAGCTGGACTTTCCACTCTGCTAATAATTGGTCTTTCAATAAGAGAATTAATTCATTAGTATTAATGGTGGTAATTGATGTATATAGGTTAATTTTTCATTTTCTTACCAATTTATTTTGAGCTTTTTATTTCTCTTTTCTGTACCTTTTTTCTTTTCTTTTTAAAAATCTTATATTAATAGGTTCTTATTTTTCTTTTACTATTTGGGAAGTATTACATACTATTTTAAATCTTCTAGTGATTACTCCAGGAAATTTCATAGGTATGTTTAGCCAATACAAGAAACTTAGAATATATTATCCATTGTTTTCATTTTTATAAGTTACTTTAAAATACTAAATATTTGACAAAGTTTTGGGATATAAAGTTAAACTTTTAAATTTAAACTCACAAACAAACAAAAAATCTAAAACTGCAATGTTTTAGATTATAACAATGACCACTTCGTTTCCACATGTGTTGTTTTCATTGCATTTTATTTGCATGGTGTTTTCAGACCTGATCTCTTCAGCTGGGATAGAGTTGTCAAGATGTCCCCCACTGAGAGACTTGAACATGCCTTCGGCCAGGCTCAAACGTACTTGGGAATTGAAAAGCTGTTAGATCCTGAAGGTATTGTTCTGTGCTTATTTTTAATCTTGATTTTGCTGCACAATTTTGGATACTTGAAGAGCAGTGTTTTTTGTTGGCATGGTGTCTTTTTTTCAGGAGGAATTATGAGAACTGAGCAGTGTTCTTCCTTTTGAAACATGGTGCAAGTCATTTTATCACAGTTATTTGGACTTTGGACTTAACAATTTGTAGGACCCTTTAGGAGGAAATTTAATTACATCATTGGAGAATAGTTATTTGATACCCCAGAAGAGTAAAAGTTTTAGGAAAATATAATTATTAGATAACCAATTCAGTATTTGGTTTATTTTACTGAAATGCATTTTTGTATATACTTCTTGTATGTGATGTGAAAACTTTAGTTACAAATGTTGTGGAATTTAATTCTAGACTTCTTTTTATAATGTTAATAAAATCTGGCATTATCTTAAATGTTAGCCTATCTTGAGCATTTGGGAGAAGCTGTTAGGGAAGAATTTTAAGAAATGGGATACTGAACAAAATTAAGAAAGTGTCTTTGCCTTTGTCTCATCTGTCATTATATGAAACAGAAACTTATTGAGCTATGGTACTGCAAAAATTATATAATAGTATTGTTTATGGGAGCTGAGGATAGTTATTTTATATCTCCTACTGAGCTGTTCACATATTTTGGACATCTAATTTAAGCTGGTCTTTATTTCCTTCCCCTTTTAGATGTTGCTGTTCAGCTTCCTGACAAGAAATCCATAATTATGTATTTAACATCTTTGTTTGAGGTGCTACCTCAGCAAGTCACCATAGATGCCATCCGTGAAGTAGAGACTCTCCCAAGGAAATACAAGAGAGAATGTGAAGAAGGGGATATGAATATACAGGTAAAGGTAAATTTTATTGAAATGTTTGACTGGCCGTATTTGTTATCTCTTAGGTACCAGATAAAAACACTTTTAGGCGATTATTTTCTTTCCTTTTTAAAAAAATGTTTTTATTAATTTGAGAGAGAGAGAGGAAGGGAGGGAGAGAGAGAGAGAAACATTGATCAGCTGCCTCCTACTGGGGACTAAGCCCAAAACCCGGGCATGTGCCCTAACCGAGAATCAAACTGGCGACCTCTTGGTGCATAGGGCCAATGCTCCACCAGCTGAGCCACACTGGCCAGGGTAGGGGATTTTTTTTCTTGACTGAAAACATCTTGGCTTGTTCACTTGCATACACCTTAGAAGTTCAATTTATCAGTTAGCATGCTGTCACGTGTCACATGTGTGTAACGGAAAACCATAACTCAACTGATTTCTTAAGAAGGAAATATACTGTTTCACACTAAATAAGGGGGCCCAGGGCTGTGATCATGCTGCTGCATGATATGCTTAAGAAGCAGTGTTTTTCCATCATTTGGTCACCATCTTCCATCAGTGTCATTTTGTGTTAAAGATGGTTTTTTCTCATGTCAACCTACCTTTGTTCTAAGTACTAGTTTTCTTTTCATTTGTCTTTAGCAAAAGGATTTTTACCATTATATTTTCACAAGGGCTATCAAAATACAAAGTTTATTTTCTCTTTCATTTAGAAGGAATAATTGTCAATATGTTACTCGGTGGGTTTTTCACTTAAAGATTTATAATGCTTTTATTCATTAGGATAAAGATTAGTTTTTAAAATAAAGTCATGAATTTTTCTTCCTGAATTATCCTGCCTTGAATTAATACATATTTTATCTTACTCTGTTTCAATCTAACCAGTCCTCTTAATTCGTAAAATGAGAGAATCTTAACAGTTGGGTAAGACCTTAAAAAGTTGTTCAGTCCAACATTTCAGCAACCAAGAGATATACCTGAATTTCAAAATGATAAGAAATATATTTTAGAGAGGCAGAAGCGTGTACTTTGAAGCTGAAATTATATTCCTGTCCCTACTTGTTGTGGATTGGTTACTTCCCCTCTCAACCAGTTTTATCTGTAAAATCTGGATAAAACCACCCACTTCATAATAATAAGCAACTCAAAGTGTCTAAAATAATATTAATAAGCACTCCATAAGCAGCAGCTAATTATAATTTTTCCTTCTTAATTTGTTTTGGTGTTCACTCTCAACAAATTCCTTTGTAAAAATGTTCGTTAATTCTCATATAATGATAATGGTCTTGAATTGGCATGTCATCTTCTTTTTCCTTTTCCAAGGTTCAAAGAACTTATTATTTCAGATTTTTTCGGAGTAGTAGGTACCAATCCTTTTAACTTCTTCATTCAAAAATAGTATGATGTATAGAAAAAGAAAAAGACTTACTGAGGAAAAGAGGCAAGAGATGGGGCCAAATTGTGAACCTAGGGCTCTTTTTTATAGTTTTGAAAGTCAAGTGATGTTGGGGAAAAGCTGTAATTTTTAAAGCTGAGAAGCATTTGTCTCTAGTGGTGAAGTTATTATCTTGCATTAATGATGTGCTCTTTTAAGTGGCTCAGATAATCTGCTGAGCCTGCTTTTTGATTTGAGTTATTTGTTTATTGAATTGGGCTTCTTTTGTTAGAAAGCTGGGGTATTTTACTTCTTATAGTTAAGGCCATTCTCTCTTAAAAAGAAAGATTTCATTTGCCTTTCATGAGGTGTAGATAAAATGATCGCGTCTGTGTAGGGCTCAGGGTGGCATGATAAGAATTGTAGAACCTATTTTCTGTTTGATTAAGAGCAGGTGCATTAACCCGAACCTCTTCATTTGCATGCTTTCATTAGTGCCTTAGAGATTGAATTAAGCTAATTAACGAAATAAAACGTGGTCCACTTTAATCATTTACTGTTTGACAGAGCTTGCCATCCGATACTTTGCAATGAACACTAATAGCCAGCCTTCCTCTCTCGCTGTGTCTTTCTACAAATGTGCTGCAGAGCATTAGGTGGTCAGCAAGTAGTTCTTGCATTTCTCTTTAATGTCTCGGTTGAAAGTCTCCTCTTGTTAAATTAGATGTCCATCTTTCCTTCAAGATGTTTTCAGTCTCCTCTTCTGGACATTTGCATCCAGACAGTGCCTTCCATCTATCTCCCACCTCCCTAGATCCTAGTGCTTATCTCAGCGACCTTTGGCTGGTCACTCACTAAGTTTCCTAGTCTCAGATAGCCTCATTAGAGCAGAGAGGTTTGCTACTCAAAGTTCCCCAGGGCTATTTTGGGTCTACAGTTTCAGAACATGAAGTCCGGAACTTAACTCATTTTCCCTTCTGTCTTTGGTATCCAGTGTTTCATCTGTGTGCTCACGCATTCATTTTTTTAACTCCTGCATACAGTTGACTGGGTTCTGTGTGATTCTTTCTCCAGAATGTGCCTGGTGCATGTTTCCTTTCTGTTCCAGCCCTCATGCTAATCGAAGACTCATCTTCTCTTGTCCTTCACAACACCCAGCCTCCCTCCACAATTCATCTCCGGCCACCGCACTGCAGTCGCGTGGACTGCTTCCTCTCCTTCCCCAAGACTCTTCTACACGTGGGTTTCTCTCTATGAAATGCTCCTCCACCCACTGTTTGCATGGCAAGCTTCCAATCTTTCCTCAGTTTCAATGGAACTTTTTCAGGGAAGTCTTCCCCCATTAACTTATTGAAATCCAACCCTACACACTCACTCATTCCGTTTTTTGCTGTCACAGTATTTTTGTAAACTATGTTAAGAATTTTAAATTGCATCTTGTAGCACTGGGAAAGCAGTGGAAGATTTTAAGTGGGGACGTCTTGTGATGTGATTATATTGTCAGAGATCATTCTGGAGGCTGAGTGAGAAGGGAGTTGTAGGGGTGGCAGTGTGGGTGGCAATGGGAAGTGAGATACTGGTTAGTAGGTGAGCAGGCTGTTGTAGTCCTGAGGGCAGACGATGCTGGTTGTGGAGATGGAAAGGTCTGGATGGCTTGGAGACGCATTTTGAAGGTAGGAATTGCTCACATATTAAACATGAGAGGTGAAAGAAAAAGAGATTCCAAGGCTGGTTCCCTGGTTCTTGGCTGGAGAAGTTTAGTGTATGAAGGAGCCACTTAGGAAAATGGAAAAGCATGAGGAAGAGTAAGTTTGGGG